CCTCATCTCCCATCCTTTGGTGGCTGGTAAAACATTTCTTAGTTAATAGAACCAATTCTCTCCCAGTCCCCTTCTAGCAACCGTTGCCATGGTCAACTTATTATCTGGCTTTCAGTTTTCTCTTTGATTCTAGCACTTGGGATTTTATTTTCCTTTTGAGAACTCAGTCATGTTTACATTCCCCCCATATTTTATCCTGTATTTCCAGGTGATGGTGCGTTTAGACATTCTAAGTCCTCCATCTTGCTTGATTCTGAAGTTGTTCCCATTTTATAGATAAGAAAGCTAGGGTTCAGAGTGATTTAACAGCCTGATGAAGGTTGCACCACTAATACTTTTAACCTAGTAATTGAACCCAGATATTACGGTTCTAGATCCTGTGCTGTTGTCACATTATTCCATGCTGCCTTCTGAAGCCAATGAAGCAAGACCAGAAAGGGGCATTGCAAAGTTAAAGGGAAGGAGGGTCTCATAGGCAAGATGGAGGAGGCCTGAGATGAAGGTGGAACTGTGTAGATGAACAAAGCTAGGAAATATGGAGGAAGTAATGGTGTTAAGAAAATGGCATATGGGATTCCTGGGCCACAACTGTTGGAGGGAGAATCATGGCCTCAAACTATCCTCTCTGAGATCCTGAAATATGTAGCCCTCTACCCCAGATCCTCGCATGCATGCATCCGTTAAACCAATATTTTGACTCAGTATTTGTGGAGTTCGAGGTCCCCTGTGTATGACAAGAGTGAGCATCTGCAGTCACGATCCCTGCCCTCAGGGAGCTTATATCCTCCAGAGAGACAGACCTCCATCAAATTATGAACAAATGTTGAACTGCGACTGTGCCAAGTGCCTCTAAGGAAAGGCACACCTTGGTGTGGGAGCTCAGAAAAGGGGAATCTGACCCAGGAAGGAAGGGCAGGGTACCTTTCCTGAGGACGTGGCAGAGACGCTGAGATCTGAAGAGTGAAGAGGAGCTAGCTAAAAGAGAAATGGGAGAAAGAGGCTTTCAGGCTGAGGGCCCAGCCTGCACAAAGTCTCTGCAGGACGAAGCGCTGAGTGGACCGGAAGTGGAGCCCTCCCACTGGGAGAGTAGTGGGAGAAGAATCTGGAGAAGCAGGCAGAGCCACACCTGGCAGGGCCTTAGAGGCCAGGTTAAGGACTTGGGTCTTTAACCTAAGATCAATAGGAAACCACGGAGTGGGTTTAAGCAGGGTGCCTGAAACAATCAGATTTGCATTTCAAAAAGGCCTCTTAACTCAGGTGTGTGGCGTGTCTTAGAGAAGTCCATTCTCAAGCTCTCCAGCTACCGCAGTGATTCAGAGGAGAGCCAGATGGTCCAGATGGTGGCTGGACCAGGGAGGTGGAAGGATGGAGAAGAGGGACAGACTTGAGAGCTATTGTAGTGGATACAACTGATCAGAGTAGAGGTGGATTCAGTACTGAGGTGCTCGCCACAAACACCTCTACATCACATCCTTCGAAGGCAAGGGGCCACATCATATGCCTGTTTGTAATATCCAGATCCCAGAACAGCCCCCATTAGGTGGTGGACTTCATACACACTTCCTGAAAAGGTGAAACTGACTAGCGGTCTCCCAAGTGATCCTCTTAACCTCTAAGTTTCTTTCATTCCTTCTTGAAATAATCAAGTGTCAATATTCAGCCTCTCTGGGCGCCTGGGTGGCTCAGTTGGTTAAGCGACTGCCTTCGGCTCAGGTCATGATCCTGGAGTCCCGGGATCGAGTCCCGCATCGGGCTCCCTGCTCAGCAGGGAGTCTGCTTCTCCCTCTGACCCTCTTCCCTCTCGTGCTCTCATCTCTCATTCTCTCTCAAATAAATAAATAAAATCTTTAAAAAAAATATTCAGCCTCTCTGATACATCCATAGGGAGAACTCTGCCAAATTCTAAAGAGTATACTTTGGGGGGAGTTAATGCAAGAACTAAGGTCTACCTTATCCTTTAACATGAACAGTAACAATAATCTTACTGCAAGTGTTGTCCGAGGGAGGAACTCCCCCAACAGAACCTTCTAAAAGGGTGAATGGTAACAGCACCCTCCTCAGTGCCAGGCTGGGGTCAGGGGCGCCATCTGGAGGGGATGCTTCTGTGGGACCCCCTGCTGACTGTTCAAAACCATCTGCCCAGCACAAGAAGAGGACATTAAGCAAACAATTTTATGGAAGAAGTGCAAATAGCCAGACACGAAGTGTTTATCTTGAAGCTTGACAACACGGGGCGGGGGAGGGGAGACACAAATTGAAGAAGAGATGAGTGGTCTCCCTGGCGACATTTGTACCTGAAGGCGGTCTAAGTTTTTTTGAGATGTCTCTTGTGTGTATTGTCTCACACAGTGCTCTTTTTAAAAAAAAAAGATTTTATTTATTTGAGAGAGAGAATGAGATAGAGAGAGCCTGAGAGGGGGGAGGGTCAGAGGAAGAAGCATACTCCCTGCTGAGCAGGGAGCCCGATGTGGGACTCGATCCGGGACTCCAGGATCATGACCTGAACCGAAGGCAGTCGCTTAACCAACTGAGCCACCCAGGCCTCACACAGTGCTCTTACTTCCGTGCTCAGACGCATGATCTGCTATGGTTTGGGGACTGAGAAGCCTGAGCAAGGGAAAAGTGGGAGATGGATGGGTAAGGGAGAGAGAGGCTCCTTTCCTTCTTACCCCTCCACCAAAGACTTTCTTCTTCCCTTCTCATCCATCCTGGCCCGGTCCCACCTCCTCTGTGAGGCCCTTCCCAACCACCCTACAGGTTCCCAGTGATCCCCCTGCTCCAGAGGTGTGAGGCCCCTTCTGCATGGGACACTTGCCGTTCACCCTATGCAGAGGGAGCTAACTCTCATGGAGCATCTTACTGCAGTGCTTCTCTGCCTTGGTGCACATCAGAATCACAGGGAGGGTTTGTTAAAACACAATGCACTCCCCCGCCCCCCTCCGGAGTTTCATGTGTACGGACCTTCCATTTAAGTGTCAGGGTGAAGATTGAACTCCCAGGTCTCCTTGACTCTAGTAACCTTTCTCTGCCTTGCTCCTTTGCGTAGTTAGTTATTCTCCTGCATGTACCTAGTTCCTCAACAAAATAGTCAAGTTCTTTTTTGTATACTTTGTATCTCCTGCTTTGTCTAACCTATATCTGGGGGCTTATTTGACATGAGACTGAAGGATTTGGGCAACTAACCCAGGGAAGCTCCCGGTGCAACAGAATCTGAGCTGCTCCCCATCCCACAACACCTCCTTCTCCCAGCACTAGGGAAGAACACCTGGTCAAGGAGGGTAGTTATTTTTCCTTCCTGCGCGGGTAAGGGAGACGCCTTAGGGCAACAGTTTGGTACAGTTTGGTATGTCTCCCACATGATGTCACCGAAATAAACAGGCGCATCTTCGAAGTTCAGTCATGGAGGCAGCAGAGAGGGGACAGCGGGAGAAATGTGAGAAGTGGAGAGAAGGGGAGGGTGGGGTGGTGTTGACTGGGGAGCCGAGGAGGGAGAGACGGGCCCTAGGAGGGCAGATACCGGTACCCGGGGCCGCTGGCTGTTCCAGGGTTAAGGGACAGGGCGGGGAACAGAGACAGAGAGGCTGCGGGTCGGTCAGGCCTGGAGAGAATGAGGAAAGTGAGGGGGTGACGCTCCTGGCAGCCCCTGGCACCAGAAGAGAAGCCGGGTTCATTCCGTACTCTCCAGTTCCCACCTCGGTATCCTTCCCGACTCCTCCGCGTCTATTTCTCTCTTTTGAAACTCCGGCAGCAACGCCCACCTTCCTCCCGCCCCAACGTCCCGGGAGCGCCGCAGCCGCTGGATACCTGGGGTTGGAAAGGAGGGGAGCCAGGATCAAGGGTTCTGGGGGTATAGAAAGGGGGCTCCTGCAAGGGTGAAGTGGGTGTTGTCTATTTCTGCAGGGCAAGAGGGCTCTGGGGGTGAGCTCCAGGCCGCCAGGTCTGTGGGACTTGCCTGGGCGGGAAGGTGCCCCTGAAGTCGGTACTGAAGGTACTAGGGATCAGGGGAAAAACCGAGAAATCCCAAGCGTGGGGTGGGGTGCCCTCGGGTCTGTGGATCACGCCGAGAGGCTGACTCCTCTGCCAGCGGGCCAGAGAACTGAGCGAGCCGCAGGAATTTGGGGCGGATCGGGGTGGGGGCGCGAAGGGCAACGGAAACAGGAAGTGAGGGGCAGAGAGGCTGAAGGGGGGCTGGGTAGAGGGAGCACCAGTTACTCCGGGTGAGGCGAGTCCTCCTCCCCGACCCCCGCACTGCACGGGACGCGGCGCGCAGCCGGGCATCCCTGTACCCGGGACCCGGCTTGGGGCCCAGCCCCGCCCGCGCAACTCGAGGCCGGGGGCCAGCGACCGCTTCATTTGAGGCCCCCACCCCTCTGCTCTCGGCCGCAGCCCGACCGGGAACGGAACTACACCTCCGGTGCGGCCCTCCCTCCACTCAGCCCGCGGCTCGGCGGGCACCGGCTCGCGCACTCCTGGGAACTGTAGTCCCTGGCCCTCCCCAACCTTCTCTGGGAGGCGGCCGGGATGTCCAGCAGGGAGGTGCCCACAGCCCTCTCCACGTCCCTCCCTCTTGTCTTTCCAGCTATAGAAACCAGCTTCTTGCAGTGATGAGGAATTGCTCTGCTGCCAAACATCACGGTCCCGTTGGCGTCTACAAACGTGCCTTACTCTCTGGAGTCACTTTCCTACTTTCCCTTTGATATTGAAACCCTGGATTTCAGGCTGGGCGATTCAGGTTTTAGGGGGCAGGTTTGAGGTCTGACTTGAGATGCTGCGCAGCTCTTCACCCTGTCTCTTCCAGTATCACAGATCGTTCCCCACTATTTTCATACATATTTTGGGGTTCAGAAAATTGGGACTTACACACTGTGAATAACCTTTGACATTCCCCCCCATTTCCAAGGCTGATTTCCACATGGTTTCCAGGCTTGTCTCCCCAATCTTTTTGTTTTGTTTTTCCCCTTCTAGCATACCCCTGATAAACAGAGACACAGAACTGCAGGTTTCAAAGAAGAAAAGAAGCAAATTTGTTGTTGTTGGTAGGAGGGCATGAAGGAGAGGGTTCTTCACCTTCCCCAACATCTTGTATAGACCGGAGGTTGGGGGGGGCAATAGAAAAGGCAGTAGATGGGGGCGCATACCCCGCTCTGTACAATATAGAAGAATCTGATATAGATACTTTGTATAAAAGCCACTTGTCCTCATTTGTGTCCTCTTGCTGGCTGGCTGGGTTGGGGGGGGCACTGGGGGACAAAGAAGCTGGGGGTGGTGGACCAGGACACAGAGACACCCCAAGGTCCCCATCCTCTGGCTGTCCCCTTATGGGGTCACTTTGGATCCTTGGTGGGGGCATAGCAGAGCTCCAGTGGCCGGGATACCTTCCAGAACTTCTCATTCACCAGTTCCAGGGTCAGCGAGCCATTCAGTGTCTACAGAGGGGGTGGAAGAGAGAGAGACAGGGTAAGAAAAAAGAAAGTTGGAGAAGGGGGCAAAGGATATGAATAAGGCAGAAAGTGACCAAGGGAGGAAGAGAGAAAAAAAGAGTTAATAAAAGAGATGGGGCAAGGCAAAGCAGGGGCATAGGGAGTGATGGGGGAGGAGACAGAGATGGGAGACGCAGAGGGAGAGAGGAGGGTAGGCCAGTTAGAAGGTCAGGACCCCCGGTTCTGTGTGGCCCCAGGCCACCCTCCCCCTCTCCCCTCTTACAGCACTGCCTTCAGAGGCGCTCACCGTGAAAGCTCCGCCCCCAGGGGCGATGTAGATGGTGTACTGCTTTTCGCTGACACCTTCCAGACTGGGCAAGGCAGGCTCCTCAGGGCCGTCACCTCCTCCGGTACCCCCACCCTCCCCACCACCCCCATCAGGTCCCCCGGCATCAGAGGCGCCCCCTCCAGGCCCTCCTGGCTCCCCAGCCTCCTGCTGCTGCCTCCGCTCAAGGGCAATGCGCAGGGCCAAGTACTTGGAAAGATGGTCCACTGTGGCATTCCCAGTTGTCTTCACGTACCTGAAGTGGGAAAGAGGGCAGGTTTAGGGCACAGAAAGCCTTAAATGGCCAAGGTAAGTAGGGGACTTTCCAACAGGGCCTCTGGGTTAGGGTTTCTTGCTGGGTTTGGGTGAAGCCCACTTATGATGGAAGTCTACGTGATCTCTGGTTTCTCAGAGGTCAGGGGAAAGACAGGGCTCTCACCTAGTCTGGCAGTATTCTCCCTTCTCCACGAGCAGGGGGTGGGGCCGGAACACGAGCTCAATTTCTCCACCTGGCTCCGGGGGACTGGGGGCCCCAGGAGGGCTTGGGGGGCCTAGGGTTCCCCCTCCCAAGGTCCCTCCCCGGTCTCCAGAGTCTTCAGAACCGGCGCCCCCACCCACCCCACCAGTGCCACCTCCCCCTGTCCCTACACTGCTCCCCCCTGCGCCCCCACCACGGGGTCGCTTGGGAGCAGGGCCTGGGGCAGAGTCAGGGGCGGAGTCTGAGCTCACATCCTCTCCATCCCCCTCTCCCTCCCCAGGCTCTCCTTCCCCCCCACTCATCGTGGTGGTCTGATCTGACCCGGGCATCGGCCGCCTCACACGCTGGGCCCTGTAGAAGCAAGCGGTTGAGGTTAGAAAGCACCAAGGATAAGGGGTTTAGACTTTAAACTTATGAGAGAACAAGAGATCAGGGAAATCTTACTGATGACACCTAATATTTATTAAATACTAACCACATGCTGAGCACACTGGCTAAGTATTTTGCACTGATAGCCTCACATAGTACAAATCCTAGAAGCAGGTGATTATATTCTATTTGTGGTTCAGGAAACTGAGGCTTAGAGAGGTTAAGTAACTTGTTTGCGATCACAGCCCCTTGCCTCTCCTCATGGACTCCAAGAACCAGTAGCCTAAGTTGGTAGAAATGTGGAATTTCAGGCCCAACTCCAGACCTACTGAATTAGAATTTGCATTTTTAACAAGACCCTCAGGTAATCTGGATTCCTATTAGACTGAACAATGCTGGCCTAGGAGGTCATTTAATTCCCAGCGGTGTGAATCCAGAGTTTATGCTCACAATCACTTCGCTGCTCTAACTTCTAGAGCTATTTTCTTCTTAAGAATAGTAGTGCCAAGTGCTAACTAAGAAGCTGCAATTTATGTCCCTGACTTCCCGGTTTCAACAATCAGGCTGTGGTTAGCTATTAGGATGCTAAGGCTTAGAAGCTGGCAGGCAGCGAAGACAGCACCAGGAGTCTGACCCATGCATCTGTCCCACCAGCCCCGCTACCGCCTCTCTCCTGGCCCGAACCTGTGCATGGCCTGCATGCGCAGCCCCTCCTCAATGCTGGAGCTCAGTGCCTGCTGGTTGTGCAGGCGACTGAGGCGGATGAGCACCCGGTCTTGATGGGCCTCGTATTCCTCCCGGCTGGGATAGATCTTAGAGATCAGGGCATCAAAGTTGGGGTCTGGCCGCAGAGACCGCTTGGATACCAGCTTCTTGCGGCAGGTAGGGCACTCCTTGTTCCTGGGGTGGGAGAGAGGAGGCCATGAACAGTCAGTTGCCAGGGTATTGAGGCCCCAACTCTGTACCCTTCACCCCATCTCAGACACATCCCTCCTGTTACCCGCTCCGCAGGGCCGTGACAATACAGTCCGAGCAGAATCGGTGGAGGCACTCCTTGGTGGTCATTGTATTCTTCAGCATGTCCAGGCAGATGGGACACATGAGTTCTGAATGCAGTGACCGAGGGGAAACCGCAATCTCTGTGCCATCCATGATGGCTTCCTGGAGGCATCAGTGAGTGGAAACATGATGGTGGGTTGGGGGAAAAGGGATTTTAGAAATAAGTAGTCCATGGAATGGGAATTTTGAGAAATACAGTGAAACAGCAGAATCTGGGTACCCCATGCTGGCTACTTGAGGAAGATGGTAATTCTGAGAGAGAGGAGTTTGACTTGGAGAGAATGGAAAACAGAAAGGATTAGTGTCCGTTAACTAAAAGTAGGAGCTTCGCAACAGGAGGATTTGAGGTTTGGCGAAAGATCTGGGAGTGGGGGTGGCAGAGATTTGTTGGAGTTTGGGGAGGACTTTGTCAACAGAATTTCTTAAAGTGTGGTCCAGGTTCGACCTATATCAGAATCCCCTAGGGTACTTGCTTAAACCGCAGATTCTGGGGCCCCATCTCATTATTGTATCAAAATGTTGTGGGGTGGGGGAAGGCCAAGAGGCTCCATTTTTAATAAACTTGGGAGGAGAGTCTCATATGCACTGACTTATGACACTGAGCTGGGGAACAGTGAAGGTAATTTCTGTCTGTTTACTATCTTTCAGATGAAGGCAGTGATACTTGCCCGTCTGTGGCACTAGCTGATGTGAGGATTAAATGAGATAAATGTGAAGTGCTTGGAAAAGATTAAGATGATTCAAAGGTAGGACCAAGGGAGTCTGTGACATCGGGCAGGGTCCGCAGAACAGGGCAAAAAATGGCAAAGAAGCTGTGGGATGGGGTCAGTGGATTGAAAGGTTTGGGGAAAGGGAGTAAGCTGTGAAGGGAGAGTCCCTGTCACCTGCGGGGTCCGGTGGAGCTCATACAGACTCAGTTCCCACGTTTTGCTTGCATTCTGGGCATTCGCCGGCGTCGTCATGGTGACCGGGCACAGACCCCCCACTAGGGTTCCGCAGCGGAGGAGGAGGAGGAGGAGGAGAGGTAGGCTGGGGAGAGGGGGAAGGGGGAAGGGGTGTTAGGGGGGCCGCCCTCGCGCAGACCCCGCCCCTCCGGTGGCTCCCCCCACCCCCATCCGCCCCGCGCCGCGCTGCCCCTCACCCGGCTCCAGCCGTCCGCGCCCCGGTTGCCGCAGCGCCTCTCCCTGGGCCCGGGCTCCCAGCCCCAGTTCGCTCGGTCCGCAGCCGCTGCTCAGACAGCAGCTCCCGCCGCCGCCGCCGCCATGGCCCGGGCGCTGGGGCCCTACGTCACTTCCGCCTGTCCCTCCACTACACCCCCCCACCCCCGCCAGCGGAGACGTCACCCGCCACTCGGGGCTCGGGTGGGACGCGACGTGGGCGCCCGGGTACCCGGCCCTCGGGACGCGCCCGCTTCGCGTGTAGAGCCGGCGTCCCCGGAGTCCCGAGCTACTTGGGGACCCCGGTCTCAGTCCCCGGGCCGGCACCGTCGCGCTGCCAACCTTAGCCACAGTTTCCTTCCCGAGGTCCCCACCCGGGGCCTCCGCTCCGGAGGGCGGGGCCTGGGATCTCTTGGACCCCGGGAGGGGACAGAAGGGTTGGAAAAGGGGCCACCTCCCCCACTCCGCGTCCCTTAGCGGCTCTGGGGAACAGCTGCCCCCCTCCCCACAACTTCTTCTCCGTAACCCCAGCCCGGCATTCCGGGGAGGGGAGGGGGGAAGGCTGCAAAGGATCCTCGGCCGCTTCAGTCCTCCAGTCCTGTGAATGCAACTAAATCCGGATGAGCCCGGGATTCCCCTTACCACCCTGGGGACTTGCTCCACCCTCCGCTTTGGCTCTCCCTAGACCCTCCGACCTGCTCTCCCCTCGAGGTTTGGGGGCGGCGGCTCGGGACGTCCAGACTCAACTCTCGGCCAGAGCCATAGACTCGAGAATTGCGTTTGGACAATCAGGAGCCGCGGCCCGGGGCGGGGGAGGGAGGCGCACGGGAGGAACGGGGGAATGGAGACACCACGCGGAAGCAGGGACACACACACAAGATGGGGCCCCTATAGGGGAGGGGGTGTGCGTGTGTGGGTGGGTGGGGGCACAAGGGGCAGAATGTCTGGAGTGGGAAGCGGGCAGGAGCCTTCTCCAGGACTTTCCAGTAAAGGAAGGGGACGGGGAGGAAAGAGAAGAGGAAGGGGCAGAGCGATCCCCATTGAGGGCAGGGGATGAGATTCGGGGCGGGGGGTGGGGGGTGGGTGGTGGGTGGAAAGAGACCATGGTGGGCGTCCTGTCTCCTCTAGCCTGGGGTTCCCGGACTTGGGCTGCAGCTGCCAGGGGGTAGCCTGTTCTGGGACAAGGCAGCAGTGGGTCCCCTCGCCCCCTCCCCCAGTTCCCCCCTACTTCCCTGTCCTCTCCTTCAGTCCGTGGCCAGTCCTTATGTGGGCTCCAGAGTCGATTAGCGCGGACCCCCTCCCCTTCCTCCTCCTCCTCCCAGCCCCCTCCCTTCTGTTCTCCTCCAGCCCCTTTCATCGCTGGTCCATTCCCCTAATCCTGGCCCCCTCCCCTAATCCCCCCCCCCACCCGACCCCAGGCCGGCTGCAGCTATTGTAAGGTGGAGAGAAGGGGGGGGGACTCAGAGGAGGGAGAGGGGTGGGGGAGGGCCACCTGTTCCAAGACCCCCTCCCAAGGCCAGACTGGACACCAGGATGGGGCCATGAACAAACCACCCTTGGGGACCATAAGGACCCAGGGAATTGGGGGGAGGGGATTGGGGCTGCAGGACCAGGGGAAGGGGGTGGGGCAGAGACCCCCTCCCTCCAAAAAGACCCAGAATGTCACGCATACACAGTGACACACACACACTCTCTCCTCTCATACCCGGCGGCGGGGGTTGCCCTGGGAGACCAGGCAGTGAAAGGGAACAATCCTTCGGGAAAGGGAAAGGAGGGGGAGGTGGGGAAGGGTCTGAGGGCTTAGACACAAGAAGAACCGGAGGTGGCAGGGAAGAGGATTTGGAATTTATTAGGGTCACAAGCACCCCTGCCTCCCATATTCAGCATTCCAGAGCCATACACTGCCACCCCTTTTGTAGCCTGGGAACTCAGAGTCCTCATCAGCAGGAGGCCGGGTGGAGTGGTGGGGGAGTGAGCAGAGTCCAGGGTCCATGAGGCAGTTACATGAAAAGACCTCCTGGAAGGGGCAGAAACATTTGGATAGATGCATAGGTGGAGACAAATGGGCTGGGGGGCGCCCACTTTGGTCCCTCGCCTATGGGAACTTCTGCTCTTCCCACAGTGGCTCCAGACTCCCTTCACTTGCTTTCTCTTACCATCTGGGTTCCACTTCTCTGCCCTCTCCCTCCCCATGATGGCCTCGTACCAGTGACTTCCACTGAGGCCCCTGTGATGTATCCACTGTCTTCAGATGCCAAGAATGCCACCACATCTGCCACATCTATGGGAATGGTGGGGAGAAGGCAGAATCCTACTCACTCTCATGGACCCAAAGTCATCACCTCCCACCAGAACCCCTCCCCACCAACACACACCCCCCAACCACCACTCCTAGTGAAACCCTCGCAGATAGGACGAACACTGGGGTCTCTTCATTCGGGCCCCCTCCCTAGGGCCTCCTCCTCATTCAGCGCTCACCCTCGGGGTCCCCCATGTGTCCCATTGGGATCATTCCAGCCACCTGTAAGCAAATATAAATGGGTGAAAGTTTCTTTTACGGATTTTTTTTTTTTTTTTGTAGATTGTCTGTGACCCTTTTGTCTTCATTCCTTGTACACTTACCGAATATCTACTATTTGCCAGGCCCTGTGCCCAGATTCTCTCTGAAGCCCGGAAAGATTGGGTAACTGAACGATTCCACCCTCTGCCCTCTACCCACAGCCTCCTACCTTGTCCAGCACTTTCTGTGGCACTTTCTGTGTCATGGGTGTTGTAATGAACCCTGGGAGGACAGAGTTACAGCGGATCCCATGTCTGTGGAAGGGAAAGTGGCTGCTGACTCTGGAGAGGACTGAGCACTGACCTGCCCCCCAGACTTCCCACACGCCTCAGCAAATCCCTCTGTACTCCCAGGGGTGTCTGACCAACCGTCCAAGCTCCCGAGCTGCCGTCTGGGTGAGCCCGATCACTCCAGCCTTGGATGCTGCGTAGTTTGTCTGTCCCATGTTCCCCACCTATAGGTGAGTCAAGAGATTTGGGATGAGTCGGGAGTCATGCCCAACTAGCTGGCTGACCTCATCCCAACTCAATCTGACCTTCCCTATGATGCTACTGATGTTGATGATGGACCCATGGCAACCACTGGACACCAGGGCTTGGGCTGCAGCCTGAGTGACTAGAAAGATGCCCTGGTGAGGAAAGAGTAACAAGGCAGAAAGGATCAGCTGGGGAGACAGTCTTCTTCCAGCTCCCTCCCCCAGGCTGGAGGAGCCAGAAGTCACAGGTTCAGAGGTCGCCACCTTGAGATTGACAGCTATGACTTTGTCCCAGTCATCCTCAGACATGCGGAGCAGAAACTCATCCCTCGTGATCCCCGCACAGGACACAACGACAGACGGCGGGCGAGAAAAGCAGGCCTATGGAAGGGGGCGGTTACACACCAAAACCCAAGTAGAACCCGGGCAATGGAGGCAATGTCGGCTCTTTAAATTTAGAGGGTGAGGTCCTGTCGCGTTCACCTGTACTTGTTCCAGCAGGCGCCTGACCGCCCCGGACTCAGACACGTCAGCCTGGAAGGCGGCGTGGGCCCCGCCGGGCGCCACCTCCTCGCTCCCCTGCCCGCCCAGCAGCCACACCGTCTTGCATGCCGCCGCCTTGTCCAGGTCGCAAGCGGCCACGGTGGCCCCCTCTCTGGCGAGGCGCACACTGACAGCCCGGCCGATGCCGCTACCCGCGCCTGAGGTGGGAGAGAACACGCGGGAGGGGGGAAAAGGGGGGCGGGCAGGGGTCAGAGGTCAACAGGGCGCAAAGTTAGTAAAACTTGGACCGGGGGCCAGAGGTCACAGCGCCTGTAGACGCCAAGGGCGCGCCCCCGACAACACTCCGGCACCCCAACCCGCCTGGAGAGGGCATCTCCTCAACCTGTGACCAGGGCCAGCGCGGAGCGGAGCCTGAGCTGAGACGCCATGTCTGGCGGCGGGTGGGCGGGCACCCAGCACCGAGCCAATCCTAGCGCAGAGGGGGCGTGGCAAGAGCAAAGCCGCGCCAATCTAAGCCTGGCCAGCGTTGGGCCATCTGCGGCCACCAGCGCAGGCTGACCTCCCACCGTGGGGGCGTGGCCAGCCACCACCACTTGGGGGCCTGGGGAGTGGGGAGATGAGGGGCCCCCATTCTTCCAAAAAAGACAAAGACCGCGTGTGGGGCGGAAGATCCGAGGACTTTATTTCCGGTCACCACCCCTACCCCTCAATTCAAACAGTGATATCAAAAGAATAGGAAAAAAAAAAAATCAGGCCAGGAGATTAGCAACCCACCTCCCCCCTCAATCACTCCCAAATCAGGACACACGATTGATGGTTAATTGATGTACATCCACAGCTCTTCCTGCTACCCCCTCTGTCCAGGGCTCTGGTCTTCCCTGAAGCTTCCACCAACAGGTGGGAGGAGGAGGCGGACCTTGGAAGAAATCTGTGTGCGGTAGCTTGGTCCTCTGAAAACAGGCTGGGTAGGGTACACGGCATAGGCTGTCATCAACTCCTCTCTTTTCCAGCCTTCTTCATGGCCCCATTTAGCCCCCAAACCCAACAACATGGTCAGCACATGACTAACACTATGGTCCCTCTGACTTCTCACTCTCACTTCTGCAGCTCCTGTAAGACTGCAAAATCTTGATGGCCCTAATGCCAAAGTCACCACTTCCCTAGAATACAACTTCCTTTGGCAGATGTCTCTGGCCAGGGCCCCCAACCTCCACAGACCCCTGACCTGGAGGACTTACAGGCTAGAGGTTTGGGGCTGGGGTTGGGGCGGTTTACCCCACCTCTCACTCGAGGTGGGCTATCAGCACCATCATGACAACTCCCCCCAGCAGCCCCAACACCTCCAGAAGTGACTGCAATGGTGATGCCTCCCTCAACAGCTCAGGCAACACGGACACCGTTGCTACGTAGATAAAGCCACCTGCAGTGAATGGCAGAATCCAGCCAGGACCTGTACCACCTGCAACTTCACTACCCACTGCCCCTCCTTCAGTTAGGAGGGCACAGGCTGTGCCTGCCAGCGCCCCTATTGCTGTCAGGAGTTGTAGACGCATCGCCTGGTGGGCAGAAAAGACAGAAAGGTACTCAGCAACATCTAAAGATGATCAGCTGTTAGGCACGTCCGGTGGGGTATAGGTATATATGGGCAGGGTGCGTGTCTTTGGGAACTAAAGACCAAGTCAAAAGAGAAGAGGATCTAGAATAGACACTGTCTGGAAAATCTTAAAATACCAAAGAGATCCTTCCTACAGGTCTTTTGATTGAGTAGGTCAGGGTGAAAGACCCTCATAAACCATTTAGATGGTTTGTGGGCCATAGTTGAAGAAATACTCAGCCACAGGACAGAGAAACAGAATTTCTTCCCCCTTACTTCTGGAGGATTTGTTGTTCGTTACAGTACAGCCTGTTTGGAACTAATGAGAGGTGATCGTGGGTTTTGGGTGGGTGAACAGGAGGTAAAGAGTTTGAGGCAATCATGTCTGATGCACAGCATCACCAACCTGCTTTTTGCTGCACCCAGACTGAACCAGGATGGCAAAGTCCCCGACTTCATGGGGCACTTCGTGTAGCAGGACGGTCATTGTGGTCAGGATCCCTAGCCCCCGACCTCCTCTAAATGAAGCACCAATGGCCAGACCATCTGTGAAGTTGTGTGCCAGGTCAGCAGCCAGATTCAGGTACCCTGATACACGTAGGTCTTGCACAAGTGGAAAGGAAGACAAAATGATTATCACCCCTAATTCCAG